GCTGCGAATATATACGGCCCAACCTTCAACCCGACAAAATGACGCACGGCCTTAAATTTTCCCAGTCCACACCAAAAAAAAATCCGTCAATGATAGAAAATTGTCGGTTAATGTAACCTCTTCAGAAACAGAAATATAAAAGATGTAAATGTTTATACAGTCTTGTTTAACTTATATTTCGTTCCAAAAGACAGGCTTTGTTATCAGAAATCACCCCTCCTCCTCCTGAGTCCTCACAAATAAAATATGAAATGTTGAGTTTGCTTCGGGCTCGGGCCTGCAAATCAAGTGAAGTGATTGGGCTCGGGCTGGGTCGGGCTTAAATACCCTCGGGCCGGTTCGGGTCGGGCTCGATTTTTTAGGACCGATATTAGCTCTACAATTTAGAGTGTTCAATTAGCCAGCCCTGCATGTTTTTGGAACATGGGAGGAAACCGGAGTACCCGGAGAAAACCCACACAGGCCTGGGGAGAACATGCAAACTCCACACAGGGAGGCTGGAGCTGGAATTGAACCCGGTACCTCTGCACTGTGAGGTCGACACGCTAGCCACTGGACCAACAGGCCACTCTTGCGACTCCACTTTTTAAAAATAATATAATCCCCTGGCTATTTTTTAATTTAATATTCTTCAAACACATACATTTCATTTCAAATTGAAGTACCTTGAAGTAAATTGAAATAAAGTATCGGCACAGCATCTGCGATAGTGCAGACTCTACATTGGTCTGTCTCGGTGAGGAACGGGGTGAGCCGAAAGGCAAACACCTTTTTTTTTTTTTTTTTTTTTTTTTTTACTGGTTTGTTTTTTTACGTTTCTACCCTTACCTAGGATCACAGGTAGTGACCGAAAGAACAAGATCCCGGATACATGTGGCCAAAATGAATTTCCTCCAGAAGGTTTCCGGACTTTTTATCCGAGATAGAGTCAGCACCTTGTTCTATGAACGTCAACAGATTATACACAAGTTGGTTGTGCCTATTGTCATCTAAGTGAAAACAATTTATTTGTGATTTGTGTGTGTGTGTGTGTGTGTGTGTGTGTGTGTGTGTGTGTGCGTGCGTGCGTGCGTGCGTGCGTGCGTGCGTGTGTGTGTACACACATACACAAAGGCAATTATTCATGTTCTTTTTTTAATGTGTTAGTATAAATATCTCTTATTTATTTGTATGTTAAATAAATCAATCAGTCAATCCATATAGCCTACCACCTCATGTTCGAAGAATTTGTACTCCCTCCACAAGACGGTCAAGGCCACTGGTGGCCAGTCACTTCATTGAACAGTCAGCAAACAAACACCGAATAAGCACATGACCTCACGAGCTGCTGAGGGCCCTGACTCGTGTCAAGAAATACAACACACCAAAATAAATAAAATAAGTTTGCTACTTTGCACATTTTCGTCTCTCACATTGGTTTCCTTTTATCAGGTTCATATTGGAATTAGCATCATCTTGCTAACCCCATATTAACTTTACAATTGCCTGTTAATTAACCAGCTGAATATTTTTTTCCATAATTGTATTCACATTCATAGAAATTTTGCTGGTGAAGCTTCGCAAAGGACAGGAACTGCGACTGAGAGCTTATGCCAAAAAAGGATTTGGTAAGGAGCACGCCAAGTGGAACCCAACAGCAGGAGTGGCGTTTGAGTATGACCCAGACAACGCACTGAGGCACACGGTCTACCCGCGACCCGAGGAATGGTGCGTTGCGAGTTTCTATACAGAAACATCATCATCAGAATCGTGATGAAAGCTTTTCTGTTTTTTCATTGATTGCTTTGTTGCCATGCTGGCTTTAGGCCCAAAAGTGAATATTCCGAAATTGAGGAGGATGAGGTCCAGGCTCCCTACGACCCAAATGGCAAACCAGAAAGGTGAGGAAAGCTTCAATCGAAACCGAGCATATCCATGATTTGGAATCAAAGCACAAATCATCTGCCTTTTCCCTCTGCAGGTTCTACTACAATGTGGAGTCTTGTGGATCCCTCCGACCCGAGACCATTGTCATGTCCGCACTGGCTGTCCTCAAGAAAAAGCTGAGCGACCTGCAGACCCAACTCAACCATGAAATCCAAAGTGATGTGCTCACTATCAACTGAAGTCACATTGATAAATGGGGCTCGCGGACTTGTCTCTGTCTGTAGATTGCGCTCTAATTTTTTTCGCTTTTTTTTTTTTAATTTTATTTTTGTAAATCATTTTTGGATTGAGAGACAGTGTCGAAACAAAACATATTTTGCTTTGTGGTTGCTTCCTTGTTTGGTGGTCAAGGACAATCACGTCAAGTTTCGTCTTCATTTAGCATTCTAAAATGTCAGTGACCCAACATCATGTTACATGTAAACTTTTTTTGAAATTTGTCGAACATGTCTTTCATTTTAATTGAGGTACGCAATAAAGACTGTTTTCTTGTCATTCCAAATTTAAGTAAATTCTCTACAGCATCTGTTGTTCTGTGCAACAAGCTCTTAGAATGTCACAAATAATGAAGTTAATTGTGTAAATCGAACTTGTATTCACTTTTCTGCTCACTGATAACACTCAAAATTGATGTGAAATGTTCAGCCATAAAAAATGTTAATATGTGATGTTTTTTTTTTCTTTATCTGATTAGATAATTAAATTTAGCGCAGGACCATAGCTAGAAATCTTTCAGTGGAGTGGTCAGGGTGACCATAAGCACTTGTGTACTTTGGCTCCGAACTAGGGCTGAGCCGGGTACTCGTTTTGGATGGGTATCTGTTATGGATAATATATTTTTGCCAAGTATTAGCATGAGATTGAGTACAGCTTGTTATTCATTATCTGAAGGAAAACTCATTGGGTAACTACATATTTATTCTCGCTTCACGCTGTGTGATTGACAGCCACAAACAGTGACCGTCCTTTGTGAGACAGACTTTTTTTTTTCAACGGCGTTATGCTCAAAATGTGCATACATTTGCTACAAGATAATTTTGAAAGTAAAGGTGCTGTAGTGTCCATTTAAATTCCAAGAGGCGACTCTCAATTCCAAATATGCATCCACGCTCAGTGCCGACGCTCCTCTCTCCTCATCCTCGGGTCCACAAGGCACCTACCTATCCAACCGTACCAGATTGCAGATTGTACAACAGCGCCGACATCTCAGCTCAACAAAACGGGGTTGTGAAAAATGCTGCCCATTACAGGCGCAAAAAAAAAAAACAAGCGGCGACAGTCAAATGATGCCGACATTCCTCCCAATAAAAAAATCAGTGCTGGTACACGCATGCTGCCAAGAAGGCGCAACCAGCAAGCACAAATTCTTCTCCTTTGACGAATGTTGTGGCCAAAAACGCTGAAAACAGTCCACATCAGGTCCACACGAAGCAACAACAAACACCATGTGACAAAACGAAAGACAAAAACAGCAACAAAATAAAAAGCAAAGGTCTTGAAGAGCAGTTGCCGACTGCTACCTACTAGGGCACCTTCTTGGATCATCTCATCTTGCTTGTTGGAGCAAGTGGAGCTCTGTGTGCTTTCCAAACTTGGATGCAGCTCACGTCGCTCAGATCAGTTCTCAGTTTTCCTCAGCTGCCCTCCTTGTCACTTTTTATCATAGTTTAAGTTAGCTGATAAACTTGTTCCGCAACGTACACGGTGCGATAGTCCGCTTTCACGTGACATCTCTTCTGCTTTGTATCTTGTTGCCCACCATCTTGGGCAGATAGCATTCGACTCCACCGTTCATTTGATCACAAAACGGGCTGCTTGGCTGCTGTTAAAATGATGCACTCTTGATATGTCATAGGGTTTTATAACAACGGGAAAAGTGAAAAAGATCGAGGTGTAGTGACTTCTGTGTACATAATTCACCACCAACTGCAAATGTGTGAATGCAATGTTCATATGCTTGTCAGAGAGTTCACGATTATTTGGTAACGGGGTAGAAATAATTGCAGTCCCTTTAAGGACCGCCATTTTAGTCTGCTTGTTTCTATGGAAACTTACTTTCGGCGGGCTTCGTTTGGCACGAGTGTTTTTTTAGTGGTGCAAATAAAAAAAAACACGACACACTCTCTCTCGGAGTGCGCACGTGAGAAATTGTCGCTTTCTTCGAGTTCTACAATTTCCACAGAGGTTTCTTTTGAATTTCAAAGAAAATTATGCATCAGGGCCCGGAAACGGAAAAAAATGTCTGAAACACGACAAGCCAAGTGGCTGAGTAACATCTCCCGTGCAGACCTCAATGGCCAATCCATAGTTTGGGCTCATATGTACAGTGATCACTTTGTGAGCGCCAAATTTGTTTTACATTGAAATTGTAGTGATAAGAGATTATTGACTTGAAGCAACATTAAGCTTTTTCTCAAATCTTTATGGTGAGGAAAAAGCATAATGCCCATAACATGCAAAATACTGTGGCGATTGTTTTGATATTTGAAGAGGGTGAAAATGTCCTCATCCATCCTGATCCTCTTCTCCAGTGGTGGATGGTTCAAACTCTGGGGTTGGGGTCGTGCTCTTCCAGAGAAGTTCCAGAGATCAAAAGGTACATCCTAGGGCATTCTTTTTACACAAATTGTCACACAGAGAGAAACTATCTGTTGGCAAACGTGAATTGTTGGCTGTAGGGAGCTGAGATCCCTTTTCGAGCACCGTACTTTATTACCACCATGTCTACTTTCAGTTGATTTTCTGGCCTATCAGAAAGACACAAGATGGCACACATATATTCATGAAACATAGCTGAACGTCATCATGTGCAGTATGTGTGATAAAATAGTATGTGTGATTGGCGATAGAATACAACCAGCAACATCTTTTGTGTGCGTGCGTGCGATGAGTGCCTCAGTCGGCCACTTGGGGCTCTCCGTTCGAGGCATCTCTTCACTTCTTGCCCTTTTCTGAACAGGAAATACAAATTCAGATATTTTAATTATGAAATAATGGATAATTATTGGATTGAAAAGAAAGTCAATGTAAAGTACAGACCATCAAACTAAAATGGAAAATAATTTGTGATCATTACGTTTTTTTGTTCATTTTATTTTTACTCTTCACACGCAGACAAGGGCTAGCATGGAGCGGGACTGCTTCACTTGTCGACCCTGACGTCCATATTTAGACTAACACCAGTCAATACACCAATGACAGGAATGGCAAATAATACGGTTGCGTACGTGGACAAATAATAAACATCAAAATACAGGGTTCCCACTCTTCCACTTGCTTTTTATTTATGGGCCCTTTAAGGACTTTTGAGGACCAATTTGGCCATTTTAAGGACTTTTTCTCCATTCATCAGGGGGTTCACGGTGGATTTAATGCCCCGCTCAGGAATACGCGGGCTGAACAGAAAGCCACATATCACTGAGCTGATGTTCAAATCATTGCTGCCAAAGGAAGGGCACATCTTTATTTTTAGAGGCAATCAGCTAACCCTTTATTTGATATACTGTATGTCAAATTTTCCCTCTCCTACCTGTATCACAGGTAGGAAAATGAAAAAAAACCTTGAATTCATTCTGAAATAAAGTACACAAAGAATCATTTTAATTTAGAAAATGTATTTCAATGTATTTTAATAAACAGAACACTAAGAACAGAGCTAATGGTCAGCTGGGACACCTGGACAGGGTTTAGAAAAATCTGGTTTCACCAACAGTAGTACTGATTGCCCATCTTAGCAGTATCCAGTATACCTGAACAGGTGAAATGCATGTCAGAAGTCTAAATCCCAAATGGTCCAACCCTATTATTTTCCCTCATATCACCTTCAATGATCAGAAATGTTTTATAATGACAAATATGAAACTGATATGACAACTAGCAGTGACTTAGTTTTCTCCTCAATCTCTTTTGCAAGTTCTTGGGGATCAATTTTCTTTTGTTTTGCTGTGTGCCTCAATGCATTTGATTTGACCAGGAGGCTATGATAAGTTTTACCTCTCACGGAGATGCCTTTCTTGCACACTCGGCAGTAGGCCGACGTATAATCGCCAGCAATTTTTCCGACCCAATCACGGAACTCCGGCTTCTCCAGCCACGCCACTTGAAAATAGCATTGCCCGGAATATTTGTAGCGACGCCACTTGAGCGAAGCGCGCCTCAGCAGTCGAAAGTCCGCTGCTCTCTGCTGTGTGTGCGTCCGCGCGAACATGTACGCACTCTCACGTCTTTTGGTTTCAACCAATCAGCGCCAATGCAAACGACGTCACAAATCAAATACGCTTTGATCTACGACAACAAAAACCTAGCCCAGCCGAGACAACAACTAAGCTTAGCTGACGGACACACAGCAGGGAGCGGTGGACTATCGACTGCTGAGGCGCGCTTCGTTCGAGTGGCGTCGCTACATACTTGTCTGTCACTTGTTGAGATTGATAAATTCGATGAATAGATTTTTCCAGAAAATACGGTCATTGTTTGCCGAGCCGGCAACCAAACCATCCATTCACTGCCCCAGGATGGCGTGGATCTATTGTTGTTACCCGGAATGACCTGAAGTGATCACGTGATCATTGTCAGAACTAATCGGAGACGGCGGGAAAAGCAGAGCGGGTACCAGTTCCTGCATTTTCCGACAAAACTATGAATTGGAAGGGTGAGGAAAATGACATACACAAAAGAAATGAACACCGCAGGTTAATTTTTATGGATTTTTAGGGATTATAGAAGAGTTCCTTGAAAATTATGGACAATTAAGAGCATAATTTTACAACTTCTTTTTTATGGATTTTTATGAATTTTAAGGACCCGTACGAACCCTGAAATAAAAGTGATGACCATCCTGAGGGCCCAAGACTGGCAAAGATCCTGGAAAATTGTCTATTGACTATTTTTCACTTTTAAGTGGTGGGGCCCAAAATGCTATATCACTTCACGGGGCCCAAAATACTGGCACCTCTGCCCATAAAGTCTTTAGAGAAGTTTTCTACCATTAAATGTAAAGGGGTGGTAACAAGAATAAAATAATAATAATAATAGAAATAACATACATAATACAATAAATGTGAAGCGCTCAGTTTCTTGTGATGTATGCATACATTCAGTCTGGCTGCTTTGGAGACAGAAAACACACACTTGTGAGTCGTAATAGTCTCTGCCATGGGTTGTCAGAATGGAAAGAGCACACAGAGATCTAGTCTTTTATAGAATTCCTGCTGGTAAACACCCCTTTCAGAAAAAACGTCGAAAGTTATGGTTACAAGCTTGGCGACGTGAGAATGCAACGCGCCCAGTGCGGCAACACAAGCGATCCCGGAGAAGCCGGGGGGTGCCCCGGCGAGAGTTCTCTTTTCTCGGTGAAGGGCAGGGCGCCCTGGAATGTGTTGGCCCCGAGAGAGGGGCCCGCACCCTGGAGAGCGTCGTGGTTCCAGCGGCGTCCGGTGAGCCCCCGTTGGCCCTTGAAAAGGGGGGGAAGGTGTAAATCTCGCGCCAGGCAGGTCTCCAAGG